GTGGACCTGAAGATCATATGTAAGAGATTAAAAGTACTTCTGTTTGAAATTGTATGGCAGTTACCAAGATTGTTTATTGTAATTCAATAGTGATTCTAATACAGGAATGGCCAACAATTTTTGCCCCAGGCCAGATTGGAAAAAGAACTTTTTCCATGGGCCGAACCAGAGGAAGATTTTGAGGTGGTGCAAGACACGTATTGTGGTGTCACCCCGTAGAGACTGAATTGTAGATAGAGATTACAGATACATTTTTCACATTTTCATGCTTTATCAACACTCTATGCTGTACTTAGGAGGTTTGTAATGGAGGGTTAACTCTAAACACACAATGAGTTGACTTTTCTTTTTTTAGGCGTCAGAATTTTTCATTGAGCTATTTGGACTTCACAACCTAATATTGAAAGATTGATCACGGGCCACATAAATTCATTAGACGGGCCAGATCTGGCCCGTGGGCCATATGTTGGCCATGCCTGTTCTAATAACAAAGAAATCAAAATAGATATTTTTTATATTTTGATTCCTTTCAACTTATTTTAACCATAGAACACAAAGCATCATCATTTTTACAACGTGGATTTGTCAATTTTTATTTTTCGTCTTGTTTTCACTATCTTGCTGTTGTTTTTAGTACCTTCCTACACTGTTGCCAGGATTGTCGTAACAAGTGAAGATTCTTGAAATTGTTTTTGTTTGTGAATAATGAAACTGTTGTCAATTTTAAAAAACTTTGACTGCTTGTGATGCCTAGAATAAGGATAGTCATATTTATATTTTGTGTGTATGTGAATTTTGTCTTTATATGGCATAATTCATGTAGTTTGTACTCGTTATTATAGATGAGCATTGCTAGAGTGAATGATCTGGATTTTGAGAAGAAAACCTTGTGGTTTTTTGATGCAAAAAAAGTGTGTGAATCTATGAATGATGCAAATACAGATGAGGAAGTAGATGACATGAAAGTTGAGGTAGTTATGATACCTGACACAGATGAAGATGAATTTTTACTCAACATATTGACAGTGCCAATGATAGTGGGTGCACAGTATACCAGCAGAAGCCTAAGCATAAGTGCATGAGACTGGAAATCAAATGTTCTGAAGAGAGTTTAGAAAGTGAAAGTGGATAACTAAAAACCTTCTGTCTGCTTCAGAAAATCATATATACTCATTCCTTTAAAAATAATCATCACTGCTTTGTACAACCTGCTAGTCTATCATCTTGTTACATTCCAAGCAGAAATATTATTCATTATATTCAGTTGCCTGTTGGGTACACAAAAAAAGGAAGAGAAATGATTTAATCATCTATCTAAGTGGAGAGCTAATCAAATCATTGATGAAGAAGCTAGAATTGCACACCTTGCAGACACAATTGCACCTCTATATAGAAAATATTTTATAGAAAAATCTTGCCATTTCCAGGGAGAATCCAACATCTGAAAATGAAATAACAATTTGTTACATCTATCATTGAGAAAAAAAAAACTATTTTACTATTACAAGTGAAAGAAATTGGACCTCACGCTGATCAATAGATAAGCAAGAAACGAGAAAATTATCATCCAGGTGTTAAACAACATACAAGTATCGCTATAAACAACTAGCGCTTTTGACGAAACTATTTTTGTCTTCTTCAGGCAAATGAAAACAGTTACTATCCTTTTATCGAATAACAATTTCAAACTACTCTAACGGCAAAACCGCTTTGGAATAAAACTAAAAATGGAACTAAATACAGAGAACTTGAATAATACGACTTGGTGCCAATGCGCATGTGCAAAAAAATTTCTTTTTACATGAATGTGGAGCTAGCTATGATATCTTAATTTGTTATATAAACTGACCCACAAAGAAGGTACATCCAGCGTGGGAGTGTTGCATGGATTTAGCACGTTGGTAAGGTGCGCATCCCATAAATACACGAGGCTCCTGTTACCACACTGCTTGAGCATCACCACTTGGTCCCACAACGGGGTGTATTGGTGTTGCAACACCATTCTTGCTAGCTCGGTGTCACACTTGCCTGCCCTAATAGACTGCTGGTGTTCAGAAATACGGCAAGACAACATTCTGGATGTCACTTTGACATACTGGATATGAGTACCAGACGTTGTACATTCCAAAAGGATAGAATTATTCCATGCTCGTATTATTCAAGTTCTCTGTATTTAGTTCCATTTTTAGTTTTATTCCAAAGCTGTTTTGCTGTTAGAGTAGTTTGAAATTGTTATTCGATAAAAGGATATTAACTACAGTAGAGCGTCGTTTATCCGAATCAATTGGGGACTGGGGTGGTTCGGATAACTTATTTTTCGGATAACGAATCATGTACGAAAAAATATATTAATTTATCCAATGTTGAAATTTCTCTCCGTTGCGTGTCGCTTTGCGTTGAATTTTCGTTGATGTTAAGCCTAACGAAGACTATTGTATCGTTAAAAATTATTTTTTTTATTTTGTACAAACAAAATAAATTTATTGAAAAATATAAAAACAATAAAAATTATACTTCAGATGTTAATTTAGTATCAAAAACGTAAAATATTTGAGTAGCCCAAGAAATAGCCGAAGATTGCAGCGCCACAGCACTAATGAAAATTTAAATTTGCCGACTGGAATGCTTTCGGATAACGGACATATCGGATAACGCTCTACTGTATTTTCATCTGTCTGAAGAAGACGAAAATAGTTTTGTCGAAAGTGCTAGTTGTTTATAGTGATACTTGTGCATTGTTTAATGTCTGGATGATAATTTTCTCACTTCTTGCTTATTTTATTATTACATATTGCAGCCAGTGATACCACATATACTGCAAGGAACATCATGAAATTCAATGTGTTAATTGCTGAAAATAAATTTTATAATAATAATTTAATATCTGAAATTTTATCAAAATAATATATGGTGAAAATTACTAAAATTACTTATTTACTTGCTAGATTCAAATTGGAGTTATTAACTGAAAATTGTAATGCATAATTTCTACTTGATACAGTGGGTGATCAGTTAACGAACAGTTTGAACTACAAACAAATCGGATAACAAACACTTTCCCAAAAGATTTTTATGTTCAGACAACAAACACATGTTCAGATAACAAACACCCGACAGAACAAATACAAGAAGAAACAACAATGCATTTAAGATTTGTAAAACTATATTTTACTGGCATCTATGAATGGTTTATGAAATGAGACTTTCACAATTGTATACATAACCTTTTTTGCACTAGTTGATTTCTGTTCTCTGAATTTTTGTAAGTGCTTTTCTGATTATTTTAAAAAATCTGTTAATATTATGGGGCCTAAAAAAGTGGAGTGTCAAGAGCTGTTCTCACCATAGAAAGCAAGCAAGAGTTAATAGCCAAGGTAGAGAGTAGAGTGGGTAGATGTCTGGTGTGGCTAGGAAGTATGGCTTCACAGGTCTGCAGTAGGTACAATTTTAGTTAAGAAAGAAATAATTAAAAAGACTAAAGCAGATAAAGGAGTAATGAAAATCACATCCGAAAAACAAAAATCTGCCATCCATGAAAAAATTGAGAGATTGTTTTTAGTTTGTTATATTACATATAAATAAATGTAGTAAGAAATTATATAATTTTTATTTACTTTTTGGTGTTTCCAGAACAAATTAACCAAATTCCCATATAAATCTATGGCAAGTCAATAATTGGTTAACAAACTATTCGGATAGTGAACATTGTCTTTGAACGGATTATGTTTGTTAACTGATCACCCACTGAATTTACCTATGGATTACTGTTGTTTGCTGATTAGATTGTCTCAAAGAAAATTAATCAGTAAATGAAATGAAAGCATGTCATTTTGATATTAATGCATTAATTTCATTTAACAGTAGTGTTAAGATGATAATGTGTTTTGCTTTATCATGCATGTTTTATTATAACAAATTTTTTGAAAATGAAATGCAAAATGCTTAAAAAATTGCCTCACAAGCAAATAAAGAAATATTAAATGGTCTGAATGATATTAAACTAGAATAGATAATTAAAAAACACTGTAAAATCTAGTAGGATATTTATTTAACTAAAGACTTTTTAAAAGCTATTTTCAGGTTAACATGAAACAAATTCAAATATATTGAAGAAATTTCCTATTGATTTTGAAGTTTTTTCTTGTAAATTTTACAGATTGGCAAAATATTTTTAATACAAAATAGTTGACCAAAATGTCAGACAGTATTTTCATGCTGGTGCAAATCTGCTATAATTGATAAAGAATTAGAAATAGCCATGTTTATTTTTAAAATTTATAAGAATACAATAGACCAAGGTTTTGCAAAACTGAGTTTCAACACTTTAGTGGTTTGCAAACTAAATACTTGTTGCAATTTATTTGATTGCAACAAATAGAAAAATAGAAAAAGTAATGCACAAAAAATAAGCGAGGGAGTGTCTTATTAAGAAGTATATACAGTATATGCACTTCAATTAAATATGTACTGTACCATCCATAACAAATATGCATATGTCACAAACATGTATATATACAAATGTAGATATAAATATGGGTCATTAGTAAATAAAGAAAAATAATTCAGAATTTATGTTTTTGATTTATCACACCTAGGTTAAATGAGTTGTAATACAAAATGCAGCTCCTGCAGAAAGTCTCAAATCAAATTATCTTTTTTTGTCTTCAACAGTTCAAATCTCTCAAACTGTTTTTTGTGAATAAACAGCATGTTACTTTTATATTTATTACATTCAACATAATAATTTAACATAAATACAATTAAATATGATAAAATATTTATATATTAAGTGTATTATATTAATTAAATACAATATATTTCTGGTTTGTATATATTTATTTTTGAAATTAATTCTAATTTAATTAAAAGAAAGGATAAATATATAAATTACAATAATGGTTATTAAAAGATATTGTAATTTATAAATTTACCTTCAATGTAACTTACCATGATATAATTTTACAAATTTATATGAATTCTGAAATTTTATTTAATTATAGGGTTCAGCAGATTCCAATTATAGTCAGCCCTCATCTGATCTTTCACTTGATGAAGAAAGAGAAGCTCTTCGTCGTGAAACTGAAAGACAAGCTTTGGCACAGTTAGAAAAAGCAAGGGCAAGTATAATAAATAAATGAAATTTATTGAAAAAGATGGATTTAAAGACTATTTTAGTAGAGATAATTAATACAAAAACTTTTGAACTGTAAGAGTTTATAACAGATAGATTGTACAAGTGAGAGTCAGTAGGCCAAGTGTGCATTGTGCACTGATTGCAGCTAACACTTTAAAAAAAATTTTTCCTATATAATGAACTCTCATTAATTCAAGTTCCAAGAGACTAAGAAGAAATTTAAATTATTTAATGTTTAACCCATAGGGTTTACTGGTGGTAGAGTCAGTCAGTTTTTAAACTAGGTACAGTTTGTTTTTTGTTCAGACAAAAATTAAGAATTGAGTCAAAGCTCTGGAAAGTCAATATTATTATTTTGGGGCCATCTTCAATGATCACTTGCCACTATTACAGTATGACATTGCTGCTGGCATAAAATACAATATAAAAAGTAATTGCGCATTTACATGCTTGTGACTTTTGACATTGTTGCATTGACCCTTACTGTATATCAAACAAAATTATGGTCCCTGATTTTTATTACATTTTTAATTTCCTCATCGCATGTTATGTAAAATGGCAATGTTTAATCAAAATTGACCAATCAAATGTTGAGATCAAACTCAATTCTGTAAACCAAAATCAAACTCAATTCTGTTCATATTGAAGTAGGCTTACTAATGCCTTGCCTCAAAAATGTAACATCTACAAAAAAATTAATCTTTCAATTTTTCATATTTTTAAAATAAACGATGCAATACAGTGTAACTTTGCTTAACGAGCATAATTCATTCCAGAATCTTACTTGTAATGCAAAACACTCGTTAAGCGAAACAATTTTTCCCATATGAAGTAATGTAAAAAATGATGATGTGCTCCATACCGAAAAAATACCCAAATATTTTATGTATAATGTTTATTTAAAGAAAATTGTACAATATATATTGTTAAAGAGCATGAATATCATCAGCATTTCTTCTAGCATGGAATGAACTAATCTGAAATGCGAATTCGATTTGCAGAAAACAAAAAAAAATCACAGATAATATGTCTGATAAATATGTCAAACAATATGCAAAATTCTTGGACTATAATTAAATATTTGAAATTAATTAATTTGACTAGAGGTAAAGGCAGTTATGCTTCCATCTTGTATTAAATTTAGTTATTATAAATAATTAATTTTTAATTTAAACATTTCTGAAATTTAATTTGGAATTGGTCATTAAATTTAATATGAAATGGAATCATAACTGCCTACCTCTAGTCAAATTAATTAATTTCAAATATTTAATTATAGCCCAAGGATTTGGCATATTGTTTGGCGTGTTTATTATATAACGGGTTATGGTTGTTGATGTTTATACATAATGTGTGTGAACACAAGTGACTCTAAGATGCTAGCGGAATGAGTGATAAAAACAGACTGATGTAGCATGTGCAAAATCCAGGACTTTCCCTCTCCTTGTCAGTCGTTATGCGAAACATGGCTTGTTAAGTGAGTCATTTTTTTACAATTTGTTTTGCTCATTATGTGAATTACTCGTTATGCAATATTTCACTGTATTTTTTTGATTTGGTGTGTTGAAAAACTAATTGCTAAAAGGTGATAGCAAGTGTGAATTAGTATTAGATACTTTGCTTGTTTTTATGCTAGAAAATTCTATGCTAAATCTTGTAAAACTTACAAAAACCATGTGGGCAAAAAAATTTTTAGACCCTGTCAATAGATGTCTGCAGTTGTCTGTAATGTTTGCCAGTAAATATATGACTGTAGCATAATGAGACAAACTTGAAAAACATATACTTGCGTACTCTGTAAAGTCCACCACATGTATTACATATATTTATGAGAGTACTCATCAAAGGGTTTTAAATTAGAAAAGTCTAATAAAGTAATAAAAATTTTCAAAGTGTTACAACTTTTTACAAGTAGGAAGAAGAAAAAAATCATCATATTTAGTGAATCATTAAAAATTAAATATAAAAACATTATAAAATTTAAATCTATTTTACTTGTTTTTTTAAAATCAGTTAAAGCATTGTAAAATTATATTAGATCCCTGAGACAATGATGCTTAATATTTGAGCAGAATTCTTTTACAGATTAAAAAGAGGAAGGTACATAATAAGATGTGGCTAGCAAAGTCACTAGATCATTTCATAAAATCACCTTTCTCATAGTTTTGTAGTAAAACATCATTTATAATACATAGAGCGATTTATTTTAATTAACTCATATAGTCTTAAAATTTAGAATGGATGTGATGTAATCAGTGCCAGCCCGAGGCAAGTTTTAGGATGGAGCGAGATCCTATTATGGCGCCCCCTTGGTCAGTAGCGTAGCGAACATAACTGGCGCTCAGGGCACGACACTTTATTGGCGCCCCCTCCAGAAACACACAGTTTGTCTTGGAGACCATTTGGGCTCCCCTCTGCAAGTGGCGCCCGGTGCTTGATGCACCCCCTCACTACGCCACTGCCCATGGTTGCCCCCAAATTTATACCCTTTAAGTTTCTTTACCACTGAGGCGCCCCCTAGGACTTAGCGCCTGGGGCGGCTGCTCTTTTCGCCCTATGGTAGGGCCGGCTCTGGATGTAATGTTTAATATCTATAAGGAATGACAAATTATCTAATGAATTCAAATTATCTGACCTTGAAATAATAAAAGTTTACTATAATTATTTAATAAATAGAAAGTAAAAAAATGGCATAAGTGGATATAGATACACTAAAAAACTGACATCTGCACTAAATCAATACAAATTACATATCTAGTAAATACAATACAAAAAATCAAAATAAGTCAAAAATTAAGTTTATTAGTGATTATAATTCATTAGATATGAATAACTTCATTTAAATTGTTTATTTGATATATCAGTAAAAATACACAGGATATTTGATTCTTGATCCTTGGGTACATTAAAGAGATGTTTTAAATTATAGATTGAATAATTTAGAAGTAGAAAAAACTTTGGAAATAAATGTATAAGTTAGTTAATTACTTGATATTTCAGTCTATACTTAGTTCAGATAATTAATTACTGCCTAAAGTACTTTAGTCTAAAATATTAAGATATATAAATACAGTAGATTCTCAATAACTCAAAGTGAAAGGACAGAGAAATTTTTTAGTTAATGAAATTTTGAATTACAAAAACAATTATTATTTTAATGAAACCATAAATATCACAAAACAAACAATTAGTTAGACTTAAATACCTTATATTTTATTATTTTTTTAGATACTTTTCAGCATCTGGATACTCACATTTACGCTTTACTGAAGCTTTCCAAAATTCTCTCCTTGTTTTTCAAATGTGTAGAGAGAATACCCAATGGAATTGAATGTCAAATTCCTTTGCAATTTTTTACTCTTTTTCTTTTCCTTTCTTTTATAGTCTTTATGGCTATCTTTTCTACTATAACAAAATCTTTAGTTTTCTCTTGTTTGCCATTTCTGTCTACTTTTGAATGAAAATGACTAAGCCAATGATCAACCTGGTCACAAGCAGTGAGGAGAATATTGAATTCAGACAAAAATAAAATTTAAGCTAAGGAAGTCTGACTTATTAAGAATGTGTTGTATTAATACTAGGTTTGGTACTTGTTTATATTTGGAAAATCATTCTGATTTAGTTAATTATATATGTTTTCAAACTTTACATGTTACAAACTTTTAATATGTTGAATATANGTAAAAATACACAGGATATTTGATTCTTGATCCTTGGGTACATTAAAGAGATGTTTTAAATTATAGATTGAATAATTTAGAAGTAGAAAAAACTTTGGAAATAAATGTATAAGTTAGTTAATTACTTGATATTTCAGTCTATACTTAGTTCAGATAATTAATTACTGCCTAAAGTACTTTAGTCTAAAATATTAAGATATATAAATACAGTAGATTCTCAATAACTCAAAGTGAAAGGACAGAGAAATTTTTTAGTTAATGAAATTTTGAATTACAAAAACAATTATTATTTTAATGAAACCATAAATATCACAAAACAAACAATTAGTTAGACTTAAATACCTTATATTTTATTATTTTTTTAGATACTTTTCAGCATCTGGATACTCACATTTACGCTTTACTGAAGCTTTCCAAAATTCTCTCCTTGTTTTTCAAATGTGTAGAGAGAATACCCAATGGAATTGAATGTCAAATTCCTTTGCAATTTTTTACTCTTTTTCTTTTCCTTTCTTTTATAGTCTTTATGGCTATCTTTTCTACTATAACAAAATCTTTAGTTTTCTCTTGTTTGCCATTTCTGTCTACTTTTGAATGAAAATGACTAAGCCAATGATCAACCTGGTCACAAGCAGTGAGGAGAATATTGAATTCAGACAAAAATAAAATTTAAGCTAAGGAAGTCTGACTTATTAAGAATGTGTTGTATTAATACTAGGTTTGGTACTTGTTTATATTTGGAAAATCATTCTGATTTAGTTAATTATATATGTTTTCAAACTTTACATGTTACAAACTTTTAATATGTTGAATATATATAAAATTTTATTATTTAATTATGTTTCTAAAACTAAAGTTAAATTCATACTATTACATTACTTTATACTCTTAGTGTTAAACTTTTAGTTAATAAAGTTTTTTTTTAATACAGTCAATCTTAAATTTTATGAAACAAGCAAAAATTATTGGACATCATCACAATGTTGGGCTGCAATTTTTAATCAAATTGTTAATCTATTTAATTTAAAATATATCTTATGCTCCCTATCTCAAATTAGTAGTGTCTTGCCCCTGTACATCATACTTTTCCTGATAACAACAGAGTCATGCCAGTCATCTATGTAACTCTCCTCTGGGGAAAATTTTTAAATTGAAATCACATGAATTCCAGTTTAGACTGGAAGTTCATATATAGCTAATTGAGATCTCTTGCCCATAAGCTTTCCATATATGGTCTCAACTTTCATCTCTCTAATATCATTCTCAAGATTAAGGAATGGCAGGCAGGCAACAGTGGGAATTTACAGATGCAGTTTTTTCAAATTACAGCCCAATAATATTTCTATAATTGTATTTACGTAGAGAATATAAAACATAGCATAAAATGTTATTTTTTTTCTGAGTACTTTGCAAGGTAATTAAAACAATTTGGAAACAAATATATATTCACTCTCTCTCTCTCTCTCTCTTTTGTATTTTCTGAATTATAGTTTATGTCTAATACCTCATTTTTAGATAATTCTATTTCTTAGTACTTATATTTCTGTTGCTAACACAAGGAATTACATTAACAATGAACATTCTATGTGAAAGAGATTATTATTTAAAATTATTTAGAAATCATTTTTGAGTTAAAAAATGGATTTAAATTATTTTAATAAATATATTTATTTATAATTTAGACAAAATCAGTTGCATTTGCTGTTCGCACAAATATTGCATATGATGGCTCTCTTGATGACGATTCTCCAGTCCATGGATGTGCAATTTCATTTGGTATTAAAGATTTCTTGCATATTAAGGAGGTAAATGAATTTTCACTGAAAATCTGTTAAGTATATAATTAATATATGAAGGGTTTATATTTAAGTTTCATAATGAAAATTTAGAGAAAATATTAAACATTTTAAGAAGTATTCTGTTTTGTTTACCTTAATCAGAATAAATTACATGTTATAGTTAAAACAAATAATATTTAAATTGAAATACATTACTGTTTAACTATTTGCATACATTATAATATACTAAGTGAAATGGTACTATACTTAGTATCTTCTACATCTGGACCCTTCATATTATTATTATTATTATGTTGGGTTTTGTGAGTTATACTCGGTTCACACCGGTGGCTATGTACTATGCCGGATCAGAGTCAAGGCATAGCAACCAAAACAAGTTAAAAATTAAATAAGTGTGTCAGTGTGTGTGTCTGTATTCAAAAATTTCCTAACAATGTGGCATGTATTCAATATAGTGGCCTTCTGTAGTGTGATGTATGTATTTCTACTCAATTGTAATGTTCCCAGGCTTTTGTGTAGTGTGTGTGGTATCACACCTGTACAGGAGAGAACAACAGGTACAATAAGCACCCTATCCATCCTCCACAGATGCCTTATTTCCTGGG